AACTCTGTCTCAGCTGAACCCAGGACATGGCTGTTTCTCCATCCCACCAGCTGCATTGTGGTGGCCACACGCAGGGCTGGATGTCACCAAGGAGCCCGGTGGGGTAACAGTGCCTGTCTCCCCAGCTCGCACAGGAGGTGGACAGAGCGATGGGAGCTTTGCATAGGCAGGCCTGGGTCTCCTGCTAACCACAATAAAAGAAAAGTGGGTAAACTTTTAAATGTTGGTAACAGCCCTGGTTAAACCTAGTCAGAGTTTGCAGGCGCCTGCAAGAGGCTTGCTAAAAGCTGAAGTCTTGGAGAAGCAGGTATTTCCCTGCAGAACAGAAGGAGTCTTTCTTCCACACAAACTCATGGCCTTTGAAACTTAAAAGCACATCATTGCCTGAGATCACTCTGATATCCATAAACCATCACTCCCACTGGCTGTCTGCTGCTCTGGCTGTCATACGGGTGTCCGGTCGTGAGCCACAGACCAATGCATTTGCTAGTGGGCCAAGGCTTTTACCTTTTTAAAATCCACTGAATCAGTCACAGAATATACTGCACTTTCAGAACCTGTTTGGAAGTTTTTCTTTGCCAGCGTGCGAGCACAGAAATACTGCTTTTGGAATGCGATTGGGACCTTTTGACACCTGATTTGTAAGTGGAGTTACATGAAGTCAGCAGGTCAGTTGCCTTTCCTAGTGGATAGTCTTTAATTTCCTCCTTGATTTAAAAGAGACTTTGAAAGCAACTAAGCTCAAATAAAGGAAACGAGGGATTAATTAATTAAGGCTGTTGATTTCCCAAGGCAAGTTTGTGGTCGTTTTCTAGGCATTTACATTGTTTTTTAAATATACAATACAGGAAACATGATATTGGAGCAACAGAAAATCCTGAAGTCCTGCCACCACATCCCACTCTCAGGACCACCCTTCATTAACAGGCATGGCCATTGCAAATGGTTCTTGTCATTAAAAATGTGGGTAGTTTTTTGCTCCTTTATGTCAGAGAAGCTTCAGCTTACAGCTGTGGCCAGTATTAAATAGGACTCACCTGGCTGAAACCATTAACTGTAAAATGAAGTCAACTCATTTAGGCTTTGCTCTTCCCTCTGACAATATTAAAGGTGACTCACAGCAAGGAGAAAGAATATCATTGACCCTTTTTTTGAGCAGAGGTGAGCTCAGGATGGTTTCTTCCTGTTTCTTCCCCATCCCAAATTTTTCACAGTTAAGAAAAGTTTGATTCTGTATGTGAAGGAAGGAGCTCCCTGTCCTTCCCCTTGTCCTGAGGCTCTTCCTGCACCCAAAGGTGCCATCGTGGCAGCTGCTTGTCGCTTCTCAGTCAGGAACCACTGCTAATGACAGCAATTTGTTGTTATTTCTGGTTGCCCTTGGGATCTCCAGGAAGGTTTGTAATTCTGTGGCACTTTTCCCTGACCCTGTTTTCATTTCATTTGCTTCTGTGGAGCTCAGTGTCACTGGACTACACTTTGCTTTTTAAAAAGGTCCTCCAGCTCTGGGGACAAGTTGAATTGTGTTTTCAGAATGACCTTTATTAGGACAAGTGGCCCAGAAAAACAGAGCAGTGTAATTTGTAGGTTCAGAGTATACACAGAGTCAGCCTTGAATGCCGCAACTGATGGGAGCTTGGGGTCATGTCTGCTGTTTGAGAGAGTTCACATTTTTTGGCAAGCCTAGAAAAAGTTATATCACCCACCTTTCCATCCTGGGATTTCAAATCAGCATTTGTGCAAAAAATCCACGTCCACGTGTTGGTCCAAGGTTGGCACTGCGAGCAGCCGGACACCCTTGGCAGGCAGTTTGGCAAGCTGCGGTACTGTCGGGGAAGCTCGAGTGGGGAGAAATAACTGTACACACCAGCACGTGCAAACAGTTGATCTACAGCCGAGCTAGCCTTACCTCTGCCAGGTTAAAGGAGTCAACTCTTTTTCTTGTACTCTGCCAGGAGACCTTGTTCCCTTACATCAAAGCCAACGTGAAGGAGTACCTGCGTGCTCACTGGGAAGAGGAGGAGTGCCAGCGGGATGTCGGACTCCTGAGGAAACAGGTTAAGTAACTGAGCTTCACTGTTTTGCGGGTTTTTCATGGTGCGCCTGAGACTTCAGGTCACTTGAACTCACCCAACACGAACCCATAACTCTCTTTCATTCCCATGGAGGCCTGTTTCCTCGATGGGCTGTTTCTCCCCTGCACGAAGCCCTGGGTTGGGCTCAGGGAAGGGCTGGTGCTTGGTAGGCAGCAGCTCAGCTGCTTCCCTCAGCTCACCTTGGTCCTCAGTGGCACCCAAGTGGGTGTCAAAGCACTGCTTTTCAGCTTCACGCCTATACCATGCCCTTCTCCTCTTGGTGAATCCATCACCTGTGGCTTCCAGGCACCTGTTCGGGAAGCAGCATGGAGGGGTGGCAAAGTACTTGTCTTGCACAGGGCAGCATATCCTGGCTCTGCACAGGGAGACAGCATCAGTTCAAGACCTGTGGCTCTCTGAAGCCAAAAGACATTTGCTTCTTTGCCTTAACTTCAGTAATTAAATACTTAAGCAAGGATAATTCTCATTAGACTATTTACAGTGTGGCTACAGTAGTGCTAATTGTTGGTTTTGGAAAGTACAATCCAAGCAAGTCTTTTTAGATGCTACTGAAGTGTGAATTTCCCATGGAGCTGGGGAAGGGTCTGGAGCACAGGGCTGACGAGGAGCGGCTTGAGGGAGCTGGGGGGTTTAGTCTGGAGAAGAGGAAGCTGAGAGGAGACCTCATCACTCTCTACAGATGCCTGAAAGAAGGGTGCAGGAGGTGGGTGCTGGGCTCTGCTCTAAAGTAACGAATGATGGGACAAGAGGAAACAGCCTCAAGTTGCGCCAGGGGAGGTTTAGGCTGGATATTAGAAAAAATGTCTGCACTGTACGAGAGATGAGGCATTGGAACAGGCTGCCCAGGGCAGTGGTGGAGTCACCATCCCTGGAGGGGTTCAAGAAACGTGTAGATGTGGTGCTTCGGGACATGGGTTAGTGGGTTGGGTGGGGTTGGGTTGACGGTTGGACTTGATGATCCTTGAGGTCTTTTCCAACCTGAATGAATCTATGATTCTATGAGAAAAGCATTCAAAACAATGTTGTAACCCTCCAGATGAAGAGCAATTCAAGCCATGTCCTGCACAGAGCTGTGCTGACGCAGGTGTTAGACCCCTTTCCTAGACTGCGATGTTGAGACCACGCCACCTCTTCCGTCACCTCTTGTTATCATGGATGATTTCCAGGCTCAGGAAGACTCCAGCCTGGATGGAGCCGTGCCAATCCCTTTTGAGAGTGGAAGAGGGGAAGAGGAGCAGGAGCGGGTCATTCAGGCAGTCGTAGACAACGTGCACTGGCAGATGTCTCTGGACAGGAAGACCACAGCGCTGAAGCAGCTGCAGGGTCACATGTGGAGGGCAGCCTACGCAACCGGGCACGTCAAAGGAGAGTGAGTAATTGTGCGTGATTATTTTGTGTGTGTGTAATTGTGTGCCCCTTTCCCTGGGGAAGATATTTAGCTCTCCTTATTAAAAAAACAAACAAAAACAATAGGATGGCTGTCCCTCTTGACTTGCTCCCTCAAAAGTGGATCTGAGCACATAAATGCCTGAAGAAAGAGGACTCCAAATAGATGCAAAAGGAGGTGTTGGATGGAGCTTTGCAGTCTTGTAACAATCAGCTGGCCCTTTCTTCATCTCCAGTTTCTCAGCCATCTGTCTTTTGCTGTTTGTTATGTTATGTTATGTTATGTTATATTAAAAAAAAAAGTTGTTCCCTTTTTTTGGTATTTATTAAATGTATCTGGTGTCAGCTGGAAATATGTTGACATTGTACAGCACCTGCAGAAACTCCCAGCCCCGCTCCCATTTCCATGCGCTGCGTTTTGTGGCTGGATTGCAGACTTCAGAGACCTCACTCCTTGGATGCTGCCAAGCAGCAAGGCTAGCTCCACAGTTTCTGAGCCCCTTTTTGGGGCGGTACCTGAGAGTACTTTTTGAGGCCTTGGCCCAAGCGGCCACCCAGAGCTGTGCAGTGCAGGTGGGAAGGCTGTGATCTGGGATGAACCCTTGGTTCCCTCGGAATCACGTCTCCAACTCCTCTTTTCATCCTTCTGCCTGTCATAGTTTTGGCCCTGGCTGGAAGCCAAACACCACAACAGCCGCTCGCTCACTCTCCTCTCCCTCCCCAGGGATGGGGAGAGAATTAAAGGATAAAGGGAAAAGAGGCTCATGGGTTGAGATAAGAACAATTTAATAACTAAACTACAATAATATTGAAAATAATAATTATAATAGTAATAGTAAGATATGCAAATACACAAATGAGTGACACACAGTGACACTGCTCACCACCCGGTGACCGAGGCTCAGCCCGTTCCCAGCCAATGACCCTGGAGCAGGGAAC